AGATATAATACAGATGAACAAATGATAAAGCTTGGCTTAATGAATATTAGATCCCTTTCTACAAAAGCGCTTTTTGTAAATATATTCACAGATCATAAAACCTGGCTAAAACCAGATGACTGCATTATTTTATGTGTCTACTCCTCAAGATTACTGTTATAAACATGAGCCACGTCCAAAAGGTAAAGGGGGAGGTGTTGCTACAATTTAAAGCAATATTTTCAGTATTTCTCAGAAGTCTGGTTTCAAATATTATTTGTTTGAAGTAATGGTGCTTCATATAACATTATCCAGAAGAACAAGTATTAATGAAAAATCCCCTGTGATGTTTGTACTGGCTACTGCAAACAGGGCACCATTCAGACTTTATCAAAGAATTTGCTGATTTTCTATCTGAGTTAGTGCTGGCTGCAGATAAAGTCTTAATTGTTGGAGATTTTAATATCCATGTTGATAATGAAAAAGATGCATTGGGATCAGCATTTATAGACATTCTGAACTCTATTGGGGTTAGACAACACGTCTCAGGACCTACTCATTGTCGAAATCATACTCTATATTTAATACTGTCACATGGAAATGATGTTGATGGTGTTGAAATTATGCAGCAGAGTGATGATATCTCGGATCATTATTTAGTCTCGTGTATACTTCATAAAGCTAAAGCTGCAAACTCAACTCCTTGTTACAAATATGGTAGAACCGTCAATTCTACAACAAAAGACTACTTTGTAAATAATCTTCCTGACTTGTTTCAGTTCCTCAGCATATCCAATAACTCAGAAAAACTTGATGGTGTAACAGAAACTATTGACTCTCTCTTTTCTAGCACTTTAGATACGGTTGCTCCTTTACACTTAAAGAAGATGAAAGAAAACAGTCTGACACCGTGGTATAATGAGCACACTCGCGCCTTAAAGAGAGCAGCCCGAAAAATGGAGCACAGCTGGAGGAAAACAAAACTAGAGGTTAGGGTTGGGCCGATAGACGATGTCATCGTCCATCGCCGATGGCTGATAGATATCACGATGTTGAGCCGGCATCGTGATTCTTCCTCCCCCTCCCCCTGCAATCTGCCGCATCACAATACCGTTTTTGGAAAGAAAATGACGTGTACTACAGAACCCCTAAAGAATTAAATAGAATTAGAGATTTAAAGAATTAAAAAAGAATTAAAGATTAAATACGAGATGGGAGGAAAATATGTATTTCAATACTTTCTCTCGCAGTTTTATCATTGGGTAATTATACTGCCCGCCGAGGAGTCTGCACCGGGACAGCTGAGAGGAAGACCAACTCATGGTGCGAGACTTCCACCAAACACGATGGGGACACAGTCCTACCCTCCTGGCATCCGCTGCCATCAAACCTAGGGGGTGAAGCAGGTGTCGCTATCACCAGAGGGATATCAGGATCACTCGGGGGAGCCATAAGTGGCACTTCGCACTTGTCTTCACTCTCAGACGCTGCACCATCTTCGCAATGACCTGCGACACTTGGGAAAGAGTCAACTTTGTAACAGTCAGCTAAGTGAACCCTATAAGAAGCACGCCACAATTGGGAACCCGTAAACTTGCGGAAATTACACCACATCCCATCTGAACTGAGCACAATGTATCTGCTTTCTAGCCCGAGACTTATTACGGTTACTATACAAGGTCGCCAGAGCTAATATCAGTGCTAGGAGCATCCTGACTCAGTGGTGCTTTCGCCTTAACACTGTGGGGGTGGTTAGTCAGGTGTTGTGCGTGCTGCAGCGCATTCAGTTCCCAGTCATGCACCGGTAACTGTTCGAGAGAGAACCGATCACGCTGCAACAAATTCTCATGGGCTGACACGCCACATGACTGAATATTTAACCGAGCGACAGCTACAGACAATATCAAGGGGGTGACGACCTCACAGTGTGGTTCTAGTTGCAAAATCTTGCCCTGTAGCTCCTGGATAGCCTTCTCGGCCACAGGATTTTTCTTGACATTTTTAGTATCGCCTACCTCAATGGCCAGCCTGTATTGAGCAAGCACTGTGTCCTTGGCCATTGCTGAAAAACCTGGTGCTGGGTCGGGTTTAACTACAGCAAAGGGGCCATCGAGCGGACGAAGGCCAGTACACAAGCATACAATACCATCCCGCAACTTCTCCTTTCGCTCGCCATCAATTAACAAAGCAGATGTGAAGGCTGTCACGCACTCACAAACGACTAGGATGAGCTGATGCTCACGTTTAAGTACGTCAGTTGCAAAGGTAGACCCAACCGTCTCAGGTGGATCACAGCTGGACTGGTCCACTGTGAACACTGGAGACTTCGCCAGTGCAGCACATTGGTGACAACCCTTAGTGGTAAGCTGGATGGCCGACTCCAAGTCCAGTGCGTAGAAGTACCGGCCGACGATAAGTCTCAACTGGTGAGCCGAGGGGTGATCTACCGAGGGGTACCTTTTGAGCTCCCTTCAAGATGTCGGCAACATCAGTACGGCACACGACAGAGACCATGGATTCACAGACGAAGCTCCAAATTTGACATGTGGGACTGTCATATTGTGCAGCATTGTGACTAGCATAATCTGAAGGGAGAATAGCAGCCCCAGCAATATGATAAACAGTGACCTGAAGGCGGCTTGCAGTCGACAAGAAAGTAGTAACACGCGGGCTCGCAGAAAATTCCCCCCTACATAGCTTCTCAAAGGTCTCCACGCATTGTTTACTGTCAGTAAGCACACACACCTTCTGTGATGACTGGATAATATATGGACCAAAATGCTTCAGGGCAGCGGCTATAGCCAGGGCTTCAATCTCACACGGAAGCCAATTGATCGGATTTTTATGAAGCTTAGAGCTGAAATGTCCCCCCATGTAACATACATTGTTTACCCCAGCCCTGGATCCCTGAGAGCACCATCAGTGACGATCCAAAGCTGATCACCAGGTTGCGGTATCATCACAGCACAACTAGTGGATAACACCTTTTGGGCCCTGTGAAAACACTGGAGGAGCTCATCTGACTACACAATCGCAGCCGTCGGCTCACCACCAGTCACCATGTTGTCGAAGGGGGCAAGGATCGACGCACAACCCTTAAGAACACGTGCTAGAACTTTATACGCCCCATTGAAGGACCGTAGGCCACTAACAGTCGCAGGGGGGTACACGAAGCCAATGTTGCAATGCAGTGCGAACTAGCGCGAATAGTACCCAGACTCCAGACCCACCCAGCAACTTGCCACACCTAGCGATTAAAGCTCTGTCTGGAGGAGGCAGAAAAGGGCACTTACTGAGGAAGTGATTGTCCAGTCTGTGAGCCTCTTTACAAAGTGCGCAGGACTTCCTGGACCGACCTAGCTATGCAAGCTTCTGTCTCGGAGTGTTAGACATGGCCGAACGCATGGCTCTGGCATCCTCTGATGACTGTAGCTCATCCAGTAGCGAACACAGGGCCTGAGATATCTCTGGTTTGATGGATGAAAGAGTGCGTGACCGCAGCTCCGTGCCATATCTCTGCTTTACAAGCTTTGGCAAATCGCTGTGTATAAGACGAAGCCAAGTAAGGACAATGATGCTTTCTATTGTGGGGGAGAGCTACTCATCCTCTACAATGACTTCACCTCCGTGAGTCTCTGCGTAGTAAATTATCCTCATCAAAAGCCATTCATCTCTGGTACAAATCCTCTGGTCCTTCATTAGACTCAAGTTTAATAGCAGCAAAGTCAATGAAATGTGCACCAGTTGACTGGAATCCATAATGTAGTCTGATAGTCTGTCATATGTGATCAATGCAGGTAGAGTTCTTAACAATAGTATTTTGGGAAATAACTGGGCAGTAGTTAGTGATCTGCCCCAGCATAAGCTCAGTCATGCTGACCTTTTGTTGGTGCGTGCGCCATTGATGGGAACATCGTCGTCATCATTGGTAAAACCTCTGAATGGTGAAGCCCTCGACTTCTTTTCCCAGCGCGTGCCTTCAACTAGAAAGGGAGCAAACTCAGTGTCCAAAGATAACATGTAGACAAGGTTCTGATGCCAGTTCTCAAATGAATTCATAGTCTCAACTTTTGTGAGAGACCATTGCTTCGGTGCTCTGTGTGTATTTGCCTTGGCTTACATCTTGATTTTCATCAGCTGAGTAGTGTGTAGATGAGATGCAATGAATCGCCAACACGAGAGAACAGTTTAGTCAAGCCTTTTAATGGTGACAGAAGACCACAACAACCAGTAGCCCATGCACATGCTCTGCCCGGTCCGCAGGATCACCTTCAACATCAGGAACCACATCACGAATCACGTCACACTCCACATACTGGCGGAAACTATTCGTCATTTTAACGGAAACACAAAGGCTGTATTTGCTAATGTTATCCAAAGGATAAGAAATATTTTAAGTCTAATTATTTTATCAGTTTCCATCAGTTTGAATGATAAATAAATGCTTAGAATCAGATTATTTGCAGATTTGTGGTGCACTGGTAATATAGTGTTATATATAAAAATTAAAAAAAAAAACCCTGACACTGGAGATTCTGACTAGTGCTGCAGACACTGCTCTGTACTGCATTAAGAAACGGTGAGCTCCAAAATCGAAAGCTCCAGCATGAATGGAATTAATGTCATGTTTCCGGTGCACTGGTAATATAGTGTTATATATAAAAATTAAAAAAAAAACCCTGACACTGGAGATTCTGACTAGTGCTGCAGACACTGCTCTGTACTGCATTAAGAAACGGTGAGCTCCAAAATCGAAAGCTCCAGCATGAATGGAATTAATGTCATGTTTCCCAATTTCAGAAGGACTGTCCCTGTATTTGCAGGGATGAGCGTGGTGTTGCTTGTTCAATGCTCTAACAGTGAAGTACAGGCAACCAGCTCAAAGGGGTGTGTGAAAGTTGCAGAAACAAATTCCTTCGGTCCCAGGCACGTTGTGCTAAATAGAGATTCTACCTGCATGACAACATAATGAAATCCAGTACACCGATGTGTTTACTTTAACATCTTTTCTGTATTTTCAGACCAAGACTCCCGGTGTGGGCTTTGTGAAGATTCATGCTCCATGGAGCATTCTCTGTCGAGAGGCTGAGTTCATGAAACTGAAGATGCCTACAAAAAAAGTAATGTTCGTCTAACAGTCCAGAGGAACATACACAGCTGCTGTGTGTGAAGCAGAGGTGTGATGAGTAAATGTGATGCTGTGCTCTTACTTTAGGTGTATGAAGTGAAGCACAGCAGTGGCGTAATGGAAAAGATCAACGCGTTCATCAGCAAACTAACAGATCCTCTTCATCCAAACTTAGAAGAGAACAGGACACAGAAATTGAAGCACCTCTCGTACCCGTTCTCCAGGGAAAAGCAGCATCTGTTAGTGTCAGCTTCACAACAACATCCATTCTCAAGCATGAAACAAATCTAAATGTCTGTTACATGTACTGTTAGACATTCAGGTGATTTGGGACCTTCACATGGCTGAATCAATGTTACAATTTCATTATACTCAACTTTCAAAAACATAAAGGCCTATTCACACTGAATGCTATTTTCAATACATGATTTTAAAATTGAACAGCGCATCTCTTTGGACCCCTTCATGCAAACTAAGAAATTCCCAAAAAATATACTTCAGTTTCATCTTAAAATGAGGGGGGCACTGAAATGATAGATATTATGTGTGTAACGGTACACAAAAATGACAGTTCAGTATGTACCTCAGTTTTGAAGTCACCACTTGGTATGTTTTCATTACAGATTTCAAATAGTTACATTTTAGCAATGGTTCCAGCAAGTTAATGGCCAAAGTGTATTTCACTTTTGTTTAGGTATTTAGAATGACTTTTTCACATATGATTTGTGTGAGTGGGCCTTAATAGTAGGAACTTATTGAAACATTGGACGTATGCAAAAATGTATTGAAAAATGTACTTGTGAACTTTCATCATTACAGGTTTGATTTGTCTGACAAAGATTCCTTTTTTGACAGTAAAACAAGAAGTTCATTAGTAAGTATAAAGTATTTGTCAAATATACAGTATTAGTGCCATATTATATCATTTGAATATTTTGACCATTACATGAATTCAAAGTTTTATTATATGTATTATTCTAGGTATTTGAAGTTTTGAAGCGAACCAAGTGCACAAAAGCTAAATTTAGCATTGGTAGGCTATTGCTTTGTCTATACAATTGAAATTTGAAATTTTATTTTTTTAAAAATAAATAGAACCCCTTTAACTTAAGTTACAGCGCTTTGCTAGAAATGTGTTCCATACCCTTTAATATTCAATTTTATGCCCAATTAATTTGCATCATTGACAGCAAAACTGTACTTGAAGGAATAATCCAGCATATCATTTTCACACGTTGTTCAGGTATAACTAGTCTGCTTGGGAGTGGTGTTTATTTGGCTGTCTATCCATTACATGATGTAAGTATCCATCACTATACTGCTGTTGAACTCTTTCTATGGATCTTAAGCTATCAGAACTGATCAACATTGTTGCATTGTTTTAGTGACTTATCTAGTTGTAAATACAGAGCAGTTGTCCAACTTCTTGTTTGATTAATGGATGCAAATCTTTTATTAGCGTTACAATTTTTCACAATATATGATGTTTTCTTTCCTTACAGGGTGATGTTGGTGGGGAAAACGCTGAGCCAAATGACAGAAAGGTAAGTTATTATTCTGTCTATACCTCTGTGAAGTGTCTTCTGTGTGAATGAGAATTTGCCAAAAAAAAAAAAAAAGATTGAGACTTGAAACAGTATCAGATGATTTCTGCTATTAAGCAACTGGATAAGAAGTGAACAACGATGATACCATAGTAATGGAGAGAAACCCACAGCTACTAGCATGGTTAGTGAAGCTAGTTCAGAAAAAAAGTTAACTTAATGTCATGCCTGTGACAAAACCCCAAACCATTTGTGGTCTAGAACTAATGCTGATCTCACTGGCCAAAATCAAATGGAGCACAGATCAAGACCAATGCTTGCTTCAGTTCATGAAGCTTTTTCCTAATGAGCTGACGGTCTGAATCAGGTGCGGTTAATGATGAAGACAAACAACATGAGCTGCTTCCCAGGACCAGGATTGTAAACCACTATCTATATTAGGCCAACTTTGACCTGCTGAGGATATTGAGTGAGCTGCCGTCACAGTTCAGAGCTCAGGGAACATTTTATTTCCCATCAGGCCAATGACCTGATGCACACAGCAAAAACTATGAAAGGACTGAATGTGTGCAGCTGAAAAGACAGCAGTGTTGTTTGAGAGTAGCACAGAGAATAGCTTCAGTCTGGAGGTGAAGATGAGTGCTGATGAATGAGGTGTTTCATCATGTTGTTGCATTTATTTCAGCTCTTGTATGAAGAGTGGGCCAGCTACAGTGTCTTTTATAAGTACCAGCCCATTGGTTTAATCAGGTAAATCTCAAACTCTCTGATGTTTCAGTGTTGTAGGTTCATTAGTAACATCTCTCACTTATCTTACAGGAAGTACTTCGGAGAGAAGATCGGTCTATACTTTGCTTGGCTTGGCGTTTACACCCAGATGCTGATCCCTGCTTCCTTAGTAGGGGTCATTGTGTTCCTCTATGGATGTGTTACTGTTGATGACGACATTCCGAGGTCAGTGGACACAAAACAAAACGTTTAGGTAAAATTTAAAGTACAAGAAACAATCGCATATGCATGTATTATTATCAACACTAAAAGAAAGCTACGCAGCTTTCAGGATTATCATTGTGATCATAAAAAGTGTAATTACTCTCAAACAGAAAATGACATATTAGATTTCAGAAGCAAAATGGTTACTTTATTTTGTTTGGACAGGAGACAAAATGACCATTGACAAACAGATCCACTTTTATCGAGTTTAGCAAACCAGCAGTTACTAGAACCCAGTGGGCTGGGTAGTTTGTGAGGTGGTGCACCATTTCTACTGTGAGTGAAACGTAACCCAGCAGTGGGTTACACAAAACAACCCAACGTTGTGAAAATACCCTAATAAAATGACCCAAGACAATTTTAGAGTGTAGTTCCTCAAAGCATCTTTGACAAGGTCTATTTTAGTCACTGAAAATACTATTAACTCATGTCTCACGTCTACAGTTGTATAACAGTTTTCTTTGTGACGGCAAAAAATACTGTTGGGTAATAAAGTATGAGCCCCCCATTCTGAGTATAAACCCTCAAACTTTTAAAGAGGAAGTTCATACTTTGAGAAAGAGCATATAAAACCAAACATCTGTCTGAAAGTCCCTCTGGAGTTTGTCACTGTCAGGATATTGTGACAGTCTGAAAAGGGCCTGTTGGAGCCGTCTCTGCAGTTTTTATACAGAACTACAACTCATTTTTGAGGATGAATTTTGGGGTAGAACTGATAAGAATAATGATCATCATCTACTCTAATGAAAGCATGAAAATGGTTTAATTTTAGTTTCACTGACAGTAAAATTATGCTTTATAATGTGAGTGCAGAAGAAACTAATGTTAGTTGATACTTTCCATGAAATGGCACAAAATAAGGCTTGAAACTGGCTTCTTTTTAGATGGTCAGTGAGAAGAGTTACTTAACCTTTAGAAAATTAAAAGAATTAAATAAAAACTCATTAAAGTATGTTATAAAAAAAAACTCCACAGTCGTTACAGGGTTGTAAATTTACCATAAATTAATCTCTTAATCAGTTTGGGTGCTTCGTTCATGCCAAATGGGGTAGTTATGTGTATAGTTACACACAAACTTCTTGTGTTTGGCAGTATGGAGATCTGTGACCAGTGGAAGAACATCACCATGTGTCCGCTGTGTGACCGTGTGTGCAGTTACTGGAACCTGAGCATAGCGTGTGGGACGGCCCGGGCCAGTCATCTGTTTGATAACCCTGCAACTGTCTTCTTCTCTATCTTCATGGCACTGTGGGGTGAGATCATCCCTGCCAACATCACGAGATCTAATTTCTGCTCCTCAATCTGTGCAGCAGCTGCTCATAGTGTTGTGTATTTGTTTGGGCTGTCTGCATTTTTAAGCACACGGTTTCCTCAACTCATTTGGCAAATTAGACGACAGCACACACTCAATACTGAAAGTGGACTGAAGATCAGGTGTTAAATGCATATGTAGTTAAATATTTCTTGTGTACATACATGCTGTTCTCCAAACCCTTGGCAGATATGTGTTTGCTGATGCTGAGGTTGGGTAGGTGTAGCTGTAGATGTACGGATAGGTTTAGGGTTGAGGTTCAGCAGCAGTGTAAACTGTGTATGCTGTATAAAAATATTAGATTACACTTCATTTTATGTACAGGTTTACAGTGTCTTACAGTATAATTACACACATAAGGTAATGAGTAATATTAATTAACAACACGGACTTACTACAGGACTTGGTTTAGGGTCAGCTGTTTGTGATTATGTATAATTTGCCATTATTAAGTACATCTAACATACATAACAATGTTACTGTAAAATGAAGTGGCACCAAATTTTTTATGGAAGTAAATAGTAGTTAAAGACATAATATTCGCAAATTCAAGGATTGAACTAACCGCTGTATAGTGAATATTAGCTACTGTTTAAAAGAGTCAGTGTTTTAAATTCATCATGTTGTAGTGACTGTCATTCATTTTCTGTGTTCTAGAGACAGTTGAGTATATTGCATTACAGGTGTAACTAGCTTAATTATGTTGAGTAGCAATTTCTTTGGCTGAATGCTGTGCAGCCACTATTTAGTGAATTTGAATTTTGTGTTAGTTTGAGAATCGAGAGCCGAACTGACTGTCTTTCTTTCAAGGCATTATTCTTCCAGTGCGCCGTCTCTATATCTCTTCGTTCTCTCTGTCCTAAACTAAACATCTGTTCATCTTGTCGTTTTTATCATCTGTTTGGCTGTTTCCTGTGTGTCTGTGTGACTCCATTTAAACTGGTTTCCATAACGTTTCTCAGTTCTGTTCTGTGTCGTCTGCTGAGGGATTTGGACAGGAAGTCACTGACTTTGGCTCTGTTTGGGGGGCAGAAGTTCACACACAAGATTTACTGTGTTTCCATCTGTTTGCAAGAGACGTATGACAGCTGTTGCTCTTTTACAAGTATAAATGCAAAGATGCATTGTAAAGCATTGTAGGTTTGTGTAGGTGTCTTAAAGCTACACCCCTGTACCTTTAAAGAGCCATGGCCAGAAATCTTCATTTGTTCTGCTTTTGGTCCCTTGAATGGATGAAAAACACAGCAGGAAAACAAACCTCCCATTCTGAGTGCCATCATGACTTTTATTTCAATTCTCATCCATGAATTTAGCCAATGTGTGAAAGTCTGCTGCACGCATAGACTGATTTAGCTGCTCCCATCATTTACACGCGATTATTAATCATCTTTATAATTAAAACGTTAATATTTGATTACATTCTGCTACATTTAGCACCTTTCCTCCTAATGGTTTCTCAGGTGTGGGTCAGAAGTGTAATGGAGTTCATTTCCTCCTGTCAGTGTTATTAATGCAGTCTTGTGTGTTTCAGCGGCGTTCTTCATGGAGCATTGGAAGCGGCGGCAGATGCGTCTCAACTACGAGTGGGATCTCACAGGGTTTGAGGACGAGGAGGTCTGATCACATGACACTCTCACATTAACACATGACACATCATCACTGGAAGTCATCTCACTAGTCTGTCATTTAATGCTGTCATCCTCTTCTTCCCCTGGTGTGTGTAGGAAGCACTGAAGGTTTGAACATATTCAGACTCTTTTCATCAGCTCTGATCTCTGACCAGCATTCCCAGCTGTCTTTTCATCCACTATTCCAAACTCTCCTCTCAAGTCTTTCACAGGAACTCTAGCATGTGCTGAAATGTCTTAGAAACACTCACCTAAAAAAGAAAAAAACTATCTTGCTTTCTTCTTTCCTTCCTTCCTCCCTCACTCCCTTTGTTTTTCTTTCTTTCTTTTGCTCTGTTCTTGTGTCAGTTTTGTCATTATAGATTGTCAATTGTTTTTGTCAGGATCACCCGCGAGCCGAATATGAATTCAGAGTCATGCAGAAATCACTGAAGAAAGACCATAAATCACAGAAGGTGACACTGTATATTGTTTTTGCTATAAATATTATGCTGTTTACTATATTTCGTTGAAGCTGCTTTGAAACAATATATATTGCCAAAATAAACCAATATTTTATAGTGCTTTTATTGTTTCAATTTAATTTTAATTTCAATTTAATTTAGTTGTTATAGATTTGCTGAAATATTTGTAACCATAGACTTACTAAAATTAAAAGTTTCCTGACCTTGCCAACACAAAAAATACTCCTCTGTCATCCCTAATGTGTTTTGCACTTATTTTTTTTCTTATTCTTTAGCCAGAGAAAGAAAAGCTGACATGTAGAGACAGATTTCCTGCATATATGACAAACCTCATCATGATGCTTTTAATGGTAAGGCTGTCTTACGCCAGCATATGAATTCATATATCTGACAACACATTACCATAAAGTCTTATTTGTTAACATTAGTTAATGCATTAGCTAATATAAACTAACAATGAGGAACTTATTTTTACAGCATTTCTTAATCGTTATGTTAGTTTTATAGCTATAATTACGTTGTTCATGTTAGGTCACACTTCACAGTGCATTAACTAATGTTAACAGATACAACATTTGATTTAAAAAAATGTAAATGCTGTAATCAGCATTAACTATGAATAAATGCTCTAAAAGCATTGTTAATTGTTAGTTCATGTTAACTAATGTAGTTAACTAACGCTAACAAATGAAAACATATTGTAAATTATCTCATATTCATATTCAATCCATATATGAGCATGCCCAGTGGGCACCTTGATATCAATTTAATGTCAAATATTAGTCAAGACTTGATCAAGATGCTGTAACATCATTTTAATTCAGTTCAATTCAGTTTGGGCAACAATTTCTTCCAGTGGTAATTGGATGAAAATTGGAAGTTAATCCCACACTGAAGTTGGTTTAATGTATATATAGGTCAATATGTTTGGCATTTAATTTACACCAAATCAACATCATGTCAAGATTTTGATGTCAGTTTGATTTGCATATTTGACGTCAGTTTGATGTCTTTTCAACATCAATTGCCCACTGGGTTTGAATATGAATATGTTTGCATAAATACATTTGGCACAGGCAGACATCATGATTTCACGTAACCCTCTGATGCATGGTTTCAACTAGAGTGGACAGATCTTTAAAATCCATTTTAACCATCCAAACCATCATGGGTGATGACCTTTGACCCTTACCCATCATTTTATATGACTGTCCTCTGTATATGTCATTGTTTTCTTTATCTATGACAACATAAATTCAACATGGCTGAGGAAAATGGTGAAGCATCAGCTACCTCTGGAATATCTACCTCTGTCTTTTATTCCAGGAGATTCAGACAGGTAAAAATATACTTTTCAAAAGAATAATATATATTTTAAAAAAACATCAGGTATTATTAATGGGTTTGTTGCTGTTCACCAAAAATACATCTGTCTACTGTAGTGGGCACCATGCTTAAAAGGGTACATGTGGTCTATATATATTACAGTTCAAAACTTTTATTCAGCAAGGAAGCATCAAATTGATCAAAAATGACAATAAAAATTATGTTTCCAAAAAAATATTAAGCAGCATAAATGTTTCTTGAGCAGCAAATCAGCATATTAGAATGATTTCTGAAGATCATGTGACACTGAAGACTGGAGTAATGATCATCGGGAATAAATGACATTTTACAGTATATTCACATAGGATACAGCTATTTTAAATTGTAATAATATCTCACAATATTACTCTCTGCACTAGTGCTGTCGTAATACCAAAATTTCAGTAGTCAGTACCAACAGCAGTAAAATTTTACGGTTCTTGGTACAAAAATTATTGGAACTATTCCGTTATTTAACTGTTTTAACTATTTGCAAATAAAAATTTTGTATAGAAATTAAAGTAAAAAGTATAATTATAATAATTAATAATAATGACAATTATAAGAAAAGATTAGCATCTATTCTTCAAAGTGTAAACATTGTTGGCATGCAATGGAAATTGGTATTTTTAAGTATATCTGAATGAAATGGCTTCTTAAATGAGAAAAAAAAGTAGGACAGGATGTGATTTTGTCCATTGGGAATTGATTGGATCTCTGGATCATTGTGGTTTTCTCCGGCTGTGATCTCACGTGAGTGACAGGCTGCTGGCGGGGAGCGCTTATTGTCCCAGATTATTATTCCCTGTCCAGTGGGCAATTAGTGTTGAAAAGACAAGCAATTGACATCAAAACTGACGTCAAATAACAGGTCAAATATGCAAATCAAACTGACGTCTAAACTTGACATGATGTTGATTTGGTGTAAATTGAATGTCAAACATATTGGCCTACATATACATTAAACCAACTTCAGCGTGGGATTAACTTCCTATTTTCACCCAATTACCACTGGAAGAAATTGCCGTCCAAACTGAATTTTAAATGATGTTACAGCATCTTGATCAAGTCTTGTCTAACATTTGACGTCGAATTGATATCAAGGTGCCCACTGGGTGGATGGGAAACTGTTTTGATTAAAGATTATGAGAGCACATGTATTAAAAAAAAAAAGATATGCATGGATAAATCATCAATAATAAACACTGCAGCATTCCATTTAAGTAATCAAATTAAGAACAATGCAACATTTTACATGTAATAAAATAAGTGGCAGTTCTATTACTCTTCATGTACACTCCCTGACTTAATGAACAGATCTTTTTTGACAAAACACTGTAAATCATTGCCATTTCAGATGTGATACCACATTTAAATACTGTTTTCACTCCTGACTGACCCCTGGCAGTCATTTCAGTTCAGTGCAAACTCACAGTGTACGTTGAAACCTTTGTGCAAACACAATTATGCACAGGAGTGTTTGGAAGCATCAGGTACCAAATATTGGTAATACTGGTATCATTACTAGGTTTATAAAATTTAGATTAGCATCTATTCTTCAAAGTGTAAACATTGTTGGCATGCAATGGAAATTGGTATTTTTAAGTATATCTGAATGAAATGGCTTCTTAAATGAGAAAAAAAAGTAGGACAGGATGTGATTTTGTCCATTGGGAATTGATTGGATCTCTGGATCATTGTGGTTTTCTCCGGCTGTGATCTCACGTGAGTGACAGGCTGCTGGCGGGGGGCGCTTATTGTCCCAGATTATTATTCCCTGTCCAGTGGGCAATTAGTGTTGAAAAGACAAGCAATTGACATCAAAACTGACGTCAAATAACAGGTCAAATATGCAAATCAAACTGACGTCTAAACTTGACATGATGTTGATTTGGTGTAAATTAAATGTCAAACATATTGGCCTACATATACATTAAACCAACTTCAGCGTGGGATTAACTTCCTATTTGGAAGAAATTGCCGTCCAAACTGAATTTTAAATGATGTTACAGCATCTTGATCAAGTCTTGTCTAACATTTGACGTCGAATTGATATCAAGGTGCCCACTGGGTGGATGGGAAACTGTTTTGATTAAAGATTATGAGAGCACATGTATTAAAAAAAAAAAGATATGCATGGATAAATCATCAATAATAAACACTGCAGCATTCCATTTAAGTAATCAAATTAAGAACAATGCAACATTTTACATGTAATAAAATAAGTGGCAGTTCTATTACTCTTCATGTACACTCCCTGACTTAATGAACAGATCTTTTTTGACAAAACACTGTAAATCATTGCCATTTCAGATGTGATACCACATTTAAATACTGTTTTCACTTCTGACTGACCCCTGGCAGTCATTTCAGTTCAGTGCAAACTCACAGTGTACGTTGAAACCTTTGTGCAAACACAATTATGCACAGGAGTGTTTGGAAGCATCAGGTACCAAATATTGGTAATACTGGTATCATTACTAGGTTTATAAAATTTCAGTATTGGTGTTTTTTTCCCCCATATGTTTCATTTGTCATTTAAATGTATGCAACCAAGTGTTAAATTCTTGTTGCCCACTGAAACCTGAATCTTTATTTTTCTATATTGCTGTTTATTCTTGTGTCCATTATCCATTAATGTTATTGAATCCAACATCCATTAATGTTTCTAAGGTGATCCAGATTCCAGATAACTAGTTTGCTTGTTCTTTGATCCATCAAGCAGTCAGAAAGTTCTTTAGCAAAATGTCCAGGCATCCTCTGTTCAAACACTGGCCCAGAATCACGACCTTACGGTCAAATACTGAAGCTTTTGGGACATCCTAAAAATACACACGAACAGAAATAATTTAGTACTGAGGAGAATGCCAAAACGCCTCCAGCTCCTCAACAACAACAATAATCTGATCGGCAGCTACAGGAAGCCTCTTGTCCACATGTTACTATATATTAAAGGTTTACATACCTTTTATCTACTGTACCTTTATCATACATCATACATACAAAGATTAATCTGCCCGTGTTTCTCATTTAAAAAAAACTTTTATTTTTATGTTATTGAAACTTTTGATACAATAGCAGAAGATTTCCATTTAAATTAACAAAGCAATGTGATCTGTGTTGATAATGCACTGAACGATTCATAGTCACTTTTATATTCTGCCTGTGGGACTTTGCTGAGAACATAACCTATTCAATAAATGAACAATGCCTTCAGTAATTAATCTGACTTTTTTCTTCAAATAAATGTGTTCTTCAGCTTTTTAAATCTTTCCAAACTAAATTTAAAGTCAATTAAGTTCCTATACTTATATCTTCATCATATCATGGCTTCATTTAAAGGCATATCTTTTTAATATTTCATCTTGTTTTTCACAGCTGTCTTAATGGTGTTTATCTGGTTGTACTTTGGGTTCAAAGATCTGTCAGCCAAATTAAGTGCATCCCTCGCTATTTTACAGATCGGTGTGACGTTTGCTATTGTATTTGGTGTGATTTTATACCGGATCTCAACCAAAGCCGCTCTGGCTATGAGCTCAAACCCCATGACCCGCTCCAATGTCAGACTGACGGTTAAAACCACAGCGGCCATCATAAACCTGGTGGTTATTCTCATTCTGGATGAAGTGTACGGCGCCGTCGCACGTTGGCTCACTATTCTCGGTCAGTTGTTGTATTTAGTAGAGCTATGCTCATCATTGATTTGATATTGATCATTGATATATGATGACATTCAGACTGACTTAGTGCTGTTGATCTTTGACGTTTACTTCTTTCAGTCATGTGTAAAATATAACGTGTGAATATCAAGCATTTGTGTTATGGTTGTCTCCTCAGAGGTTCCTAAAACGGACAAGAGCTTTGAAGAAAGGCTGATCTTCAAAACTTTCATCCTCAAGTTCGTGAATGCGTTCACTCCCATCATATACATTGCATTTTTTAGAGGCAGGGGGGTAATACATATCCAGACCAGTTTTATCTCACACAACCTTAGAGGAAAGCGCCATGTGATTTTGTCTGTTCATTTACATTCAGAATTGATGAATTAATGAAAGTATTGTCAAGTTCATACTAAACATGAATGACTAACTGTGTTCCCATTCAGACTCGGGGGGCGTCCGGGAAGCTATCTCTATGTGTTTGAGTCCTATCGGATGGAGGAGGTATGAAAACAGAAACACATGAGTTCTCTGATGAAGGGATTGATTGCAGCAGCTGACGTGATGGTTTGATGTGTTTGCTCAGTGCGCTCACGGCGGCTGTCTCATGGAGCTCTGCATTCAGCTCAGCATCACAATGCTCGGCAAACAGCTCATCCAGAACAACCTGTTTGAGATCGGCGTCCCGTGAGTGTCACGCTGACCCACACACACACCACTGTTTGAGCGATCACAAGCGACACGTTGAAAGCGTATTGTGTTTGCGTGCTTTGAGTCTTATTTGCTTTACTGCAGTAAACTGAAGAAGCTGATCAGATACATTAAATCCAAGAGAGGCTCTTTCCAGGAAGAGGAAAATGAGAAGAAGTTACAGCGTTATGAGACGGATCATTTCCTGGAGCCCTTTGGTGGCCTCACGCCCGAATACATGGAGATGAGTGAGTGTTTTTACACACTCCTAAACCAAACAAAATCATCATAAGAGATAAATTGTTCATTACTTGTCTTCATACCATTTCATTGGTACAGTTGTATTCACTGAGTTTAAAATTTGTATTTGATTGGTTCAAAAGCCATTTACTTACGTGTAACCTTAGCATATTTCAACATTATTATTTTTATTATTAATATCGTGGGTGACTCTTTTATTAAGATAAGTAGGGGGAAATTCTTAAAAATTCAGGTTCCAACTTTTTTACTGTGTACTTTGATAAATTGTGAAACCAACTCTTGAACTATTAACTACAGCTATAATATAATAACGTAATGTCTTTACCAAATCTGGAAAATTGTAAATTGACTGAAAATATGCCAAAGTCCAAACCAGTCACAACCAATGGCCAACAAAGAAAGTTTAGGCTAGTCTTTTTTTTACTAAACAATTTTCAGATGTTTTACTCCTTACAAAGAAGGTAGACAGGTAGTCTTGTTTTGCCAAATTAATTCATTAATTATTAATGAATTATTGTGCTTCCATTCCTGCAGTAATCCAGTTTGGCTTTGTGACTCTCTTTGTGGCATCTTTCCCACTGGCGCCTCTGTTTGCCCTCCTGAACAACATCATTGAAATCCGTCTTGATGCCAAGAAGTTTGTGGCAGAACTCAGAAGACCAGATGCAGCCAGAGGCAAAGACATAGGTCCGTATTTACACTGTCAGCTTTCACTTCTCACAGTTATTACATCATATAATAAAACTCAAATAAATAACCCTGCCTTAGTTTTGTGGAAGAAAATTAAAGGCAAAAGTCTTTGAAACAAAAAAGCACGTTGAATTGTACTAACTGAAAAAAAATAATGCATTGCATTAACAGTGCTTGCATTTTCATGCCTTCCATTTTCAGGGTTTGCATTTTTAGGGACTGAAATTTAACAGTTGTTTATTTAACCTGTGAATATTTCAATTCAAAACATTTCACATTTTCATAATTAAAAATGCAATAATTCATATTCTCCTTCCAGAGTTCACTTCCGAAATATTCAATCTGTTTAAAAATACGATGTACAATATTCGACAGGCAATTTTCAGTCCATTTTATTTCACTTTACAAATTCGCTTCCACAATTTCAGTGGTTCAAATTCAGCAGAAAATTCAGCATTGCACATCCGGGAACTGCAGGAATAGCAGTAGAGTACCGATGCATGATCTACATCTGCTGTTAGTCGCTCACCAGCAGGTGGCGCAGGCGGGCGCTGATGGAGTCCAAAGCAACAGGTAGAGCAAGTCATTCATTCACAAAAACTGATGCTATTTTGATGCTCTATTGATGCTAAAAAATGCTATTTTGTTCAACGCTTATATACAAAATTAACATTACATCTAAGACATATTGTTTTCGGTTGCTTAGTTTTAACTTTATATCATGGCTTGTGTGATGCTGAGTTGTAATACTGGGGTTTCCCTCTGACCTCACACTCCAGGATTCTCCAAGGATGCATGCCTCAATGAACTAATACAGTGATGTAAACAAGACCTCAGATCTCACCTTACTGATGATGCAAACTATACAGGCAAGCAGATGTACTCAGAATATAAACGTAACGTGCAAGGTTTCACGCGATTTCCCTCAGAAATCTGTTACAAGGAAAATGCTTCATACAGTTCAGTGGACTAACATGATAGCTATTAAAAGACCAAACTCAGAATACACCTTACTGATGATGCAAACTATAAACAGGCAAGCAGATGAAACCAGAATACAGTACGTTTCCCATAAAAGAAAACACTTAACACAAATGCATTCTCTGACAGCAGGTGGCACCTATGGAACAACAGCGATATAGAGTTTCCTTGGTTAGCGCTGTAAACAAAGCAGCGCTGCACTTATCAACACTACTTTAATATGCATTATATGGAGGTAAGAGGAAAAGAAAATCCCATTTCTGAAGACGATCAGTTCCTCTCAGAGATACATTCATGTAACCCCCCACATATTTGTCTTCCTCGAGCACCATGACTGCCTGGTACAGTATTTTCTCCTCTTTACAGACTTCATAAAAATTCCACACAAATTACATTTTGATTTCAATGCCGTTTGTGTGCAATTCTGGAACAGAGATCAGCCAAAATAAAAACCGGCTCAGATTTATAGCCGGTCAACCGAAACGCAGATGAAACCAGAATACAGTACGTTTCCCATAAAAGAAAACACTTAACACAAATGCATTCTCTGACAGCAGGTGGCGCCTATGGAACAACAGCGATATAGAGTTTCCTTGGTTAGCGCTGTAAACAAAGCAGCGCTGCACTTATCAACAATACTTTAATATGCATTATATGGAGGTAAGAGGAAAAGAAAATCCCATTTCTGAAGACGATCAGTTCCTCTCAGAGATACATTCATGTAACCCCCCACATATTTGTCTTCCTCGAGCACCATGACTGCCTGGTACAGTATTTTCTCCTCTTTACAGACTTCATAAAAATTCCACACAAATTACATTTTGATTTCAATGCCGTTTGTGTGCAATTCTGGAACAGAGATCAGCCAAAATAAAAACCGGCTCAGATTTATAGCCGGTCAACCGAAACTTTCCCACACTGCTGATTTAAAACAAGCAGGCGGTTCTTCGAGCTCTTGAATGCCATCTGAACATGAACTCTCTGTTCTTGTTTTGGGTTGGTGCGCAGATCATCTCTTCTTCTGCTCTTTCCTGTTGTGACGGTTCCTGAATCTGGATTGATCGCACTGACTGTATTCATCATCTGACTGCATGAACCGAACCGTTACGGTACGGGACGAATACATGTACCGTTACACCCCTAATCTGTACTCTACTGCTAACACTGCAGTTCCCGGATGTGCAATGATGAATTTTTTTTTTTTTGCCAAATTTGAACCACTGCATCTGTGGAAGCAAATTTGTAAAGTGAAATAAAGTGGACGGAAAATTGCCTGTCAAATATTACACATTGTATTTTTATTAAACAGATTATTTTGAAAGTGAACTCTGGAAGGTGAATATGAATGAATAAATTTTAAATTATGAAAATGTGTGCGAAATGATTTTAATTGAAATATTCACAGTTTAAATAAACAACTGTTAAATTTCAGAACCTAAAAATGTAAACCCTGAAAATACAAAGCACTGTAAATGCATTATTTTTTCAGTTAGTGCAATTCAACATGCTTTTTTGTTTCAAAGACATTTGTCTATTTTTCTTCCATATAGTTTAAGCTCTGTGATCAGCATTACTGTCCACTACCATTGAAAATCTTTTGAACTTGTCCTCCAGTTTGAGAAAATCATGGAATATTTAGAATATATTGAGTTTCATGTATCTGCAGTTGTAATATTCCTGCAAATCTTTCCATAAAATTAATAATTGTTTTGCATCATCTGTTGGGTGTATTTTAACAGGTTTACCTAAAAATCCTCATAAACTAATTGTGTTCCTCATGATGTCTTTACAGGAATCTGGTATAATATTCTAAGAGGAGTCGCAAAAGTGGCAGTTATTGTCAATGTAAGTGTGTCTAATAATGTAATATCACTAGCTGTCACATTTACCTTTGAACTGTGAATTTCCACCTCTTTTTTCCCCCAGCACTTTATATTCTTTAACAGTACCATTATAAACAAGTGTCTGAGCAGACATTGCTCAGTCAGAGTTCACTGCTAATTCAAGTGACTTCTTATTGGTCAACACTGCAAATTTGCATGTCAAATCCAACCCTGTAGTGCCTCAATTCCACACTGAGTTAATGCCATTAAAAAAACTAGAAATCGTAGCACTAGAACTTCCGTCCTGTTTGAAAATATTGGAAGCAGTCTTTGGATTCATGTAGCAGTGACCATTGAGCTTCTGAAGAACTGACAAGCTATTGTCAAGCTAACATCAGAGCCAAAGATAGCCCTTGGCAAACACAAAGCCACATCGCAAAAGTGATTGTACTGTAGCTGATGATTGTCAGTTTATTTATTTATATAGCGCTTTTAACAATACAGATTGTGTCAAAGCAACTTTACAGCATTAAACAGGAAAATAGTGTGTCAATAATGCAAAATGACAATAGTAAACACTAATTTTTCAGTTAAAGGCAGTTCATCACAGTGATGTCATCATCCAGCTCAGTTCTGTTTAAATAGTATCTTTGCAATCATTTGCAATCAAGTCAACGATATCGCTGGAAATGAAGTGTCCCCAACTAAGCAAGCCAGAGGCGACAGCGGCAAGGAACCAAAACTCCATCGGTGACAGAATGGAGAAAAAACCATGGGAAAAACCAGGCTCAGTCGGGGGCCAGTTCTCTTCTGGCCAGACGAAACCAGCAGTTCAATTCCAGGCTGCAGCAAAGTCACATTGTGCAGAGGACTCAACTGATTCCTGTGGTCTTGTCCCGGTGGCCATCTGAGACAAGGTCTTTACTGGGGATCTGTCTTTGGGGCTCATCTAGTTGTCCACATTCAGGACATTCAGGGTTGTCCAGGTCATCTCTAGGTCCTGATCCACCATCTTGGCTGGATATGTACTGGATCCGGGTGACTGCATTCACCATCTGATCTGGATACAGACTGGATCTGATGGCTACGGTGACCTCGGAATAAGAAAGAAACAGACTAATATTAGCATAGATGCCATTCTTCTAACGATGTAGCAAGTACATCGGGTGTTATGGGAAGTGTTCCC